AAGAAACAAAGAACAAGAGGAAGAAACAAACAAACAACAAGAGGAAGAAACAAACAAACAACAAGAGAGCAAACATGCAAACAAAAAAGATGACTTGCAAAGACCTTACATTCCTGCATTCATTCATTGCATGCTGTGGGTCAGATGTTTGCGTACTGGAGATATTTCCCGTCTTTGTTGTGATCAGTTTTGGGTTTCATTACTCAAAGTTACTTATTGGTCACTTTTCTTAAATGTAGTGCCGTACGTTACCTTCCAGGAATTTGTTTCACTACTTTTTACACCGTTTTTGCATTTTTCCAAAACGCACTGAAACACACTGTGTGATAATCACCATTTAAACACATAAAGCTACAGCCCCACACACCAACACTGATCTGTCCTAATGAGGACACACGTCATCTTTCTCTTAGTACTTAGGTGTGACCACGAAGCAAAGATGAAAGTGGTTGCCATGGTGATAGTACTGTAGAAACGGAGGCTGACTGCTCATCAGTGCTCATGTTAACTGTTGTAACTTAGAGTGTGTCTACTGGGCCGCCTCACTCAGCTTTAATGTCGCTGGGTTTTTGGCTAGATTAGCATTAGCATGTTTGCAAAGCTCTAAAGTTGCGTTAGCAGCATGATGCAGCTGCTGTGGATGCAGTTTGCACTCCTTTTATAGAAATAAAAGTCATGTCCATCCACTCTGAAGACTGTGGCACTATGAAGTGCAAGGGGAACTGCGGGATGGATAGACAAGCAAACTAACAAGGAATTAGACTTCTGTGAACCAGTTCTTGATTCCCATCAATACTTCAGAGTGCTTGAAGGATCTGGTTAGCTGTGCAGCAGCTTTAGTGTCTCACACCCACTCACCATCTTTGATTTATTCTTACAAATCCAACAAGACAACAAATACGTTTGCACAAACTTGATCATTTTATGAAAACAAAAGTGTTTGGATGCAACATCTGTCTGTCATGTGTTGATTATATTTTGTTTGAGGCTCTGACACTGTGCTCTTAGATGCCCTGTGTGCACTGTGACCTCTGGTGTTTTACCAGTGAACTCCCTGTGCTCTTGACACTAGTTTGAGAAAACAGTCGTAGTGTTTTTCAGTTGGCTGCTTGCTTCATAACCTACAACATGTTTGTGTGTCTCCAGAAACACAAAGCTGCTCTTTTTTAACCGACAAGAAGAGGACATTCTTTGGCGCTTTGAACTGGATGAACTGGCTGCTAATAACGACAGGTATAGGAGCTGTGCACCTGGGGAGGGCCTCACACTGTGGGTCGTGTTAACAACAAGCCTCTAAGGTGGTGCATGTGAACAAACGGCAGGGTGGAGTCATCGGTAGAAAAGAACCCGAGCTCTAAGAAAGAAAAAGAAAATACAGAGAAAGAGAGACGATGAGGAGAGGAGTAGTAACCAGTTTAGGCCAGTCCTGTTAAATGTAATTTAGATAGCTGGTTCAATATTTGTTTTAGCCTTTGGAGCTTCAATAAGCCGGTGTGTCAGAAAAATGCCTCTTCTCAACTGAAGTGAATGGCTGTGGAGACATGTCTACATGTAAAATGGCTCTCGTGTCTCGTCTTCCGTTTGCTGTGTGTTAGGTTTCAGGTGGAGCATGTCCTCTCTGAGCCCAGTGAACGCTGGACCGGCCGGAAAGGTCCGGTGAACGAGCCCATCCTTACTGAGCTGCTGTCCAGGCCTGATGGGTCCAAATGCTACGTGTGTGTCTGTGGCCCTGCAGCCTTCACAGAGCTAACACTCGGGTAGGTAACACAACCGCACTGCTGCTCTGACAAAGTGTTTTATTTAAAAGCCGTCCTCACGGAGATCTATGTTCTGTTCGACTGACTGCACTGTTTCACTTGGTGTGCAATCACAGCATTTAAGAGCGCCAATACAGTCGTGTGATACGTCCTAGAAATATCATTGAAACAGGCAGCGAGCATGTTCACATAGACTCCAGCAAAGTCTCAGATTTTATATGATCATTAAATAAGAAATGTGTTATAAATTCAAAGGCCAAACTGCCTCAGCTCCGCGCTCTATTGTTCTTTTTTTTCCAAGGACTTGATGTAATTAATGGCACATATTTTTCCACCTGAAATCTTTGTAAAACATTCAGCTGCACGGGCCTAACAACACCACACTGAGAACATTTTCCATGTGTAGCGTGAACTGACTCAGCTTTGTGTTGACCTCCTTTCCTGTGTGCTCTTCTTGTAGGTTGTTGAAGCATCAGGGCTTCAGTGAGCAGGAGCTCCACGCCTTCCAGGGTTGACGTGAAGCGAACACTGTGTTTCTATGCATCGAGAACTTGATGATGCTGATACGTTTGAGGTGCTCTGAGGAACGTCATATAAATAAATAGAAATATCACTGGTACTGTTTCAGATACAGTGGATCCAGAAAGTATTCTTTCAGCAGTTGTCATGATCCAGCCTTATTCCAAAATACATTCAATTTGTTTGTGTAATTGCTGCTCACCTGAATGCTTTGAGGAGTGAACAGCCAGTGACACCTCAGCCTGAGTCCAACCTGCTGATTTTTATAAACACACTGCACCTTCAGTTCTGCCTTGACAGAACCTTATCACCTGCCTCTAGTTTTTAATTCACTTTCATTTATAAAGTGTTAAAATCACAACAGCAATCCCTGCGAGGTGCTTTATATTGTAAGGTAAAGACCTGCAATAACACAGAGTTCACATTGCAGGATGTTATGCCACACAGCTACGAGGGTAGAAGGTTACTAACAATGAAATGTCCCAGGAGTATCTCTGCCTGCTAAAGAAAAGTGTTGCAACAGAAGGAGATTTTTCCAACTATCAAAAAGAAAACTAATGAGCGCCACGTGCTTCCTAGCATGGTATGGTGGCACCACCGCCTGGTCACGATGCCAGTAAAGCAGCCTTTTCCCGGGGCTTTAAAAACGTTGCTCAGGCTAAATTCAAAGGTTTGCTTTGATCATATCAAACTCATTGCTACATAATACAGGCCTCAGCAGTGCCGACCTGTGGCTGTAGCTCAGGTGGTAGAGCGGGTCACCTACTAACCAGAAGACATGATACTAATCCCAGGTTGCTCTTCAGTGCATCCATCGGGGTGTGAATGTTAGGTAGCACTGGAAGCCTAGAAACGTGCTGGTGTGATTGGGTGAATGAACAAGTTGTATAAAGCGCTTTGAGTGCTCAGATTGGGTAGAAAAGCGCTATATTAGAACCAGTCCATTTACCTTTAGCTCCTCCCACAATAGTTGGTGCACATTGTTCCCATTGGGCTGCAGTCTCTGGATCTTCAGTTTCAAAAGGTTCTAGCACTGAGCTACCAGGTGTTTCTTGGTTCTTTGCCCGTTCATAGTCATCACATTTATGCATATAACCTCTCTGAGTGGGTTCGCTGGCGTAGCCGTGTTACATCAGTTCCATGTTTCCTGTCCTTACCCGTGTAGGCAGCTTCTCATCTGTCCTGCTCTGGTTTCCCAACACCTGACCTTGTTAAGCTGGGTGACGTCTAAGCCAGTAGTTAGGCTTAGCTAGCATTTGGGGTCTAGCCCATGCTGCATGCATGTCTTGAATGGGTATAATACGGTCAGTGGATACAATTAGAAAACATCGTTTACATTACAGTTGGTAAACTTCATCAATACTTGGTCACCAAACATGACTTATCAGTCAGGGACGCACATCCACTGTTACAGTCACGCCAAGTACCCCAGCATGGCTCCTCTGCTCCTGCAGTGGGATAACACAACCCTTGAATTGTGCAACAAAGACATTCAGGCTGCAGACAGAACAACGTGATGTGCTATGTAGCTGCAACAAAAATGAATCCAGCAGATTCCATTAGTGTGCGAGCTACACCACAGCCACAGCTGTTTGTGTCATATCAGTAATGCCAGCTCACAGTCTGGGTTCAGGGAAACTGCTCTCCTTTAACATAAGGCTTCAAACTTGCATCTTTTGGAGGGCAGCCTGTAGCTTCGGCTGGAACAAACAATCTTGAACTTGTGGAAAAATAAATTGACACCAATCAGATTTTCTGAAGTCCATTAAAAACAAATCCGGATCAATAAAGCCAGAGCAGGCTTCACACCTGCACTGATACTGAAAAGAATAACTAACATCTCCTCTACACATGTGTGGATACAAACACTGTGTTTGCAGCTGAATGCAAAAGTTACAGTTAACAGTACATAGAGGTTAAACCAGGGGAAACATTTCTAATCTTGGATTATTTTAATTCATTCACAGCACAAAACTCGTGTGTGAAATGTATTAATAAGAGCGGTGGTGAATTAACATTGGCTGTTTTGTAGCAGATGGGCATCTCACTGCACACTGTAAAGACAAATGAAAGCATTTACACAGTGTGGTGCTCAGCTGCCCCGTATCGCAGACACAACCTGGAAACACAGTCTGCAGAAGGTTCATAACATCATCCTCCCATCCAGACCACAGTCTGTGCTCCCTGCTTCCCTCTGGGAAGAACGAGGTTCAGGAACCTCTGATCCAGAAACAACCAGCTCAGGAACACCGTCCTCACATTTTAAACCCTAAACACACACAAGCACACAAAAATAACATTGTGCAAATGTGAATCCATGTACATATTTACTCTGTAGGCTTCTCTTTCATTCATGTTCGTTACTCCGGACAATGATGTTATATCGTTTCCACTTCACATCAGATACCAAACTTTGTGTCATAGTTTGAGTATTGTGGTTTTCAGTGACAATAAAACAGTCTAATCCAAAGCCGTCTTAGTTTTGATTACTAATCTTCATAACCTTCCCGGGATTCAGGAGATCAGGTAGTTTATTCACGAGAGCTGTTATTGAGTTTAGGCTCTCGTTTGCTGTGCGACACACTAATAGGTCCCTCTGACAATCCGCTCTCTAACACAACATCATGACATCATGTGTTAAGAGCAAACACTACATTAACACTACTGTCAGACTAATATTGTTTTCCATTGAACATTATTGTTGGGCTGCTTCAGGCAGCAGGGGTCAGCGTCACTACTGGTGCCATGAAGTAGTTCTGACGTTGCACAGACCATAGAGAACATTATGCTGCTCGTAACATCGTGCAGATGAACGGTTTGGTCTGAGGACTCCTCCAGAGGAAGGCACAGACTTCTGCAGGCTGAGCACCTGACTGCCATTAGATATCGGGCCTGAGCCCAACAATGCCTGGCCTCATGTGGCAGATTGCACTTCAGACTGTCCGGGAGCTCGCAATGACCATCGAGACGTGGGGGGAAAATGCCCCAGGACACTGTCGTCTCATTAGGAGCATGCCCTGATCCTGTCAAAGTCAAATTTATTTATGTAGCACATTTAAAACAGCGACTGTTGCCCAAGGGGGTGTACATTTAAGGTAATCAAAAGAGATAAAAATATAGGAAGAAATGATAACATTTAAGAAAAAGAAGCATAAAAAGAGAAGATTTCAGTAAGAAATGAGACAAATAAAAGTCATACAAACTCTTTCTGATTTAAAAGCCAAGGAACAAAAGTGGGTTTAAAAAGAGTCCAATGTTGGGGAGGTCCTGATGTGAAGCAGTAGTTCCAGCAAAGGCCCGATCTCCTCTGTGCTTTAATCTGGACCTCGGCACAGGAGCATTTGAGCCGTACCCCCAGTGAGCTCTTTGGGGTGTACCAATTAAAAAGACCAGAAAGGTGTGAGGGTGCTAACCCGTGCAACGCCTTCAAAAACGAATAATAAAGCAACAAAGGATCCAGCAGGTGCATCGTTCCAATCCTGGGAAATGTAGGATGCATTTGTAGGCTGTATTTGGATGAACCTCTAAATTGGGACATCCTTCACTGCCTACAATACGAACCTCAACGATGGCACATCCAGTGTGTCCAAACAGAGTAGTCCAGTCAGGTAGAGACATCTAGCACGGTTTTTTGGGTGTTTTTCTAAACTGATGTTTAACACTATATTAAGAATGCCTTTGCAGTGTAATTGAGAGAATCCTTCTCTCATCTCACATGATTTTATGTTATTTATGTTAAATAACTTTTTCTCCCTCTTCTTTTTGAAGTCTTATGTTTACCAGTTTAAAACAGTGTTAATGAACACGGGGTCGGTCGGTCATTTTAAAGCCAGCATCACACAAATGCATTTCATCTGAGAGAGTCAGGCTCCAAAATTATGAGAACCTAGAAGTTTGTAGATAACTGCTGGAACAAAGTTGAGAATTTGTGTTCGTGATCTGACGTATTTTCTCCAAAACAAAATATTCAGCAACTCATCCACAAAGTGGCAGCCAGGTGTCAGAGACGTCCTGAGATGCATAAAGTGTAAAAGCTGCCAGTGCTCCGCTGACACAATAACACAGACCTCTGAACTTCTGGCGACACAAAAACCTCCTGGTTGTAGCGCAGTAAGTGCCAGGAGCTTACAGGAGTTCATAGTAAAGGCTCCAGTATTTTTGTCAGTTATTCATTTCACCCCCTGCTTTAAGTTCACTTACATACAAAAGAAACGAACAGTCACAAATTTCATGGTAGTATCCAGAAAGAACAGAAAAAAACTTAAATAGATTTTCATGTCATGAGTGAAATAAATATATCACACCAAGCACAACATGACTTAACACTTGATGGAAAAACGATTCTTTCGAAGCACAGCAGTAGTTGGTCACCAGGTTTGCACACATCTCAGGAAGGAGTTTGTTCCACCCTCTTTATAGAAACTCCTGTAGTTTTCTTGGCTGCTGCTAAACAACAAGAAAGTTCAGCTCCCTCCTGAGTACCGAGGCCTGGAGACTGGCTCGGCCGCTCCTTTGTTGCCTTGGCAGTATGTTGGCAATCACTGTCAAGTTGGAAGACCACGACAATCTTCAGTATTCTTGCTGGTCTTGTGCAGGTCCACAGCCTCGTTCCTGACATTTTTTGACAGCTCTTTGGTTTTTCCAATGGTCGTAGAGAAGCTGGAGCGGAAGAAACTGACTCTGAAGACAGGCGGCGTGCTTTAAACACAAGTTAAGATCAGTAGTGTCTGTAATTGACTGATTGTAATCTGTGTCCCACATGGGCGCACAGCTGCCACAGACTGTTGTAGGGGATCAAATCCGTATTTCACTCAGTGACATCAGGTTTGACAGCATTCCTCGTCGAGCATGAATCGATGATTAATGTATTTGCTCGCTTGAAGATTTTATAGTAGACTTAAATATGGCTGCTCGCTGCAGTTTTCTGTACTTAACTGAAAGAGTGATCACAAGGAAAACGGCATGTACATGAGGAGTTTCAAATTCTGATTCAATGACTCTGCTGCTATAGATATGTAAGAGTCTGACAAATGACTGTAACAAAAAACCTTTCTCACCGCTATGGATTTAATTATATTGCCAACTCATGTAGGACCACCAAACTGCAAAGAATCCAAGAAGATGGAAAATCTGATAATGAAGACAAATTGGATCTATAAGTTGAATCTGGAGCTGATTTCTTATTACAAAGTCTGGCATGTAGCTGACCTGCAAAGGCACTGAAACAGAGGAAAAGAGATGAAGAATTGAGACTCTGATGTGAGTCCCATCAAAAACACCTGCAGAGGATAACAACTGACGGGCATGTTACGCAGCAGCCATGCTTGGGTGCAGGCTGCTAACCAAGCCGGCCAGTGTTAGCCGAGACTTGGCCTCCACCTCACACTGGGGCCATAAGGAGAACTTTTACTGCAGAATATTTAAATATGTGTTCATATTGTGGTTGTGATCAAGTATATTACTTTTATCTGCAGGCCCTGCTGTCATATCTAGACATGTAAAACAGTCAAAAAACAAAATGATGTTCAAGAGGTTTCTTTATTTCACACGACTGTTTCCTCTGTGGAGGCAGGGATGGTAAGCCAGTCTCTGCAGGTCTTTGGTGCAATACTGATCCTAATAAACCATTAACATGAAAAATATAAAAATAGTTATTTAAATAAAAAGTAGAAACTTCTATTGCTGACACACTGGCATGGAATCAGTGCAGCATTCACAGTCTCAGCTTTCAAATGTTGTATTAACTCCTCTGTGGAATGGCGAGCTCAGGAGTCGGCAGAACCGCTCCCTGTCGTTGCAGATGTCTCAGGATGTCCAGGATGGAGTCGAGCTCAAGGCGGAAAGCATCCATCTCCCTGCTCTTGTCCTGAGCCAGACGTCTCCAGTGCTCCAACTCAGACTGCAAATCATCACCTGGCGTCTGCCACGCCCCCCCAAGCACCTGAAGGACACAAACAAAAGACCTCAGGTTGTATTTGATACAGTAGAACTACTTCATCTGACCTCTATGTGGATAATGTCATCAGGGGAAGTGCACAGTCTTCTCCACCAAACAGCGTATATGTTTGGCCACAGGTTCAGCAGTGTGTCTAACTCCGATGTCTGTGTGACTCGCAGACGGTTTCCCAGAGTCCAGGAGACGTTTAAAGTCATTTACAGCATAACTTTCAGGTCAGCTTACGTTTTCGTACAAGTTAGTTCAAGTTAGTTTCATTTACGCTGACAATGTGGATCCAGACCTGCTTTTGTTTGAACGTGGTTAGTTCAGGGGATCACCCACAGTGGATGTCCAAGCCTGTGTTCAAAGTTTATCACAACTGCTGATTTAAAACACCTGAATCTTGACCTTAGGGGTCACTACAGGTTCACATCAGGTTCTGGGTTCCAGTTTCTGTCAGCTAGTTGGGCCCTCACCTGCTGCAGCTCCTTCTCTCTGTGCTGGTGTCTGAGCTCCATGTTCAGTATCTTCCTCTCCAAGGTGCACAGGAGTTTCACCTCTGAGCTTGAAGCTTCTTTAGCTTCCTTCAGCTCCTGCAGCAGTTTGGTTAGCTAAACACGAGACAGAAGCAGCTAAATTAAATTAATTAATTCCAATTAATTATTGACACATTTAATGAATTATTTAATGGTGTATTTCATTAATTCATTTTGGCAGTCCTGGCATTCCATAATTCAGAGTCTTTCTGTGTACGATCCTGGATAGAGCCAGCACAGCGATCTTTCTCCAGCTCCTCACCTGCGTCTGCAGAGCATCCTCTCTCCTCCTGGATATTTTCAGTGCTTCTTTGCACCCCTGCATTTCTTTCAGCTGCTTGTCCAGATGATTCATCATTATCTGCAGGTACATATGAATGTTAAAGCAGCAGGCTCATGTTGTACAGAGGCTGCTTGATGAGGGAGCCCTACCTCTTGAGTGCTCAGCTTATTAGTCAGTTCTGCAACCTTAGAGTCTGAGTGTTCGAGTGCATGGGTGGCCCGCAGGTGGTCCAACACTCTAAAGTGTTCTGCCTTCGTAGTGGATAGCTGCTCTTCAAACTCCTCTGTCAGCCTGGGAGATTAAATCATATCTTTAATTCAGGGGCAGCAGGTGATTGGCTGGGTTGTTGAAGAACATCCTGCTTCTTTGCAGGATGGGTCTCTATTTGCACTATGAAGAGTGTAACTTTATATTCCTGAGAATTCATCAGCAGCACAAATGTTCCAATAGCAGCCACGCATCCCCAACGTGACATCCCCTTCACCGTTTTCCTGACAGATGATGTGATCTGCATCATCTCCACACTGTTTGTTCTTGAGTATAACCAGTGGTTGGCACTTTGTTGTACACCTGTGTATTGACGTTGACAGTGATATTCCCCATCAGCCTTTTATGGCTCAGGGATAGAAATTCAACACTGTAAATGAACTTTGATATTTAGTCTGCTTCACTGCTTTAAGTATAACATTTCCTAAACAGCAAGTGCAAGTAGAAGCATTTGGAAACAAGCAGAAAGCACACAGAAGCAAAACTACAAAACTGTACCTGCACAGCTGCTGCTTGGCCTGTGCAGCATCAGCCTTCAGAGCTTCCTTCTCCTGCTCGCTCTGCAGGAGCACAAGCTCCACCTGCTTTTTTAAAGCTTCGTTCTCCTGCAGAACCTCAGAGATATGACTCCCTGTCAGAAGGAAACATGAAAAAAATCTTCTAGTGCCTCCAGCTAGCTGCATTTTTGAAATCTGGAAAACCACAGCCCTGCTTATAGATGCTTCTATATCCCTGCTGTTAGTGTTCACACTGGGATCGATGTGGGCGTGTTCTTCCTTCTGATGCAAGTCTAGAATATGTAAACAACACTTGTGTGTAAACCACTTTCAAGGATCGCTCGACAAATAACAGTCACACACACACACACACACACAGAC